TGACCGGAATCACTGCTCTGGAACAGCACGACGGTATTCCTCTCCTTCGCTCATTTTCTCTGTCTCCCCTGCATCAACGTGTTCACGGAGAACACGTGCAACTGGCTTAACACCTGTTCCAACGTCCGAGCGCTTTTCCTTCGAGTGACCATTGATCGTCGTCGTTCGATTTTGCCTCGAAGACACCATTAATTAATCTAATCGCACGCTTCGACCATCAAAAACACGTTTCATGACGGTTACAATGATAAACAACAGGCGGCAAGAATTCTGTCGCCGGAATAACGCTTTAAAGTATAAAACTTCGGTTTTATGGGCCGTGTAAACTCGAAGGTCGACGCGAATAGAATGGTTCACGGTTCGATACTTTATAGCCCTCTTGTGATTTGTGTTTCTCACATCACGTGTACCGGCAATGGATAATAATTTAATTTTACTATACATTATGGACGTCTGTATAAGAATATTCGTAATTCATGTTTGCAATTAGGGTGCATTAAGTATATTTTGTATCGTAAAATATGGTCGTAAGTGAATATTGGCTATCTGTTTAGAATGTCGTTTCAAATTGAAAAATAATTTACGGAATTACGTGGTGTGTGTCATTGTTTGTATAGAACGAGTTTACTTACGATATAACGCGACACTAATGTAATTGAAAAGCTTAACCTCTTTTTTTTTAATGGAACACGCAAAATCACTTATCCATGATTACTCATTATTATGCTATTAAGAGTGTCAGTGTAGCGCTTATGAAATACACAAAAACTAAACTCCGAACAAACGAACGTTTTTCCATTCCGTACGCGCACTTTTCCTTATCTGCATAATTTATCGGCAAATTTAATTTACTAGCGATACGTGACCATTATTCACCACAGCGTACGATCGCGTAACAAACGGTGTTCCGCGGCGCGGCATGAAGAACGCTGAAACGCAAAATGGCCTGTTACGACGAGGACAATGGAAGCCTTACGAGGTACCTTGAAGAAAGGAAGCATCCTAGCGAAGAAATTTTGGCTACGGTTTGTATGTGGTTACCTGAGACCATTGAATCGACTTTGTGTCAATAATTCCTCCGTTATGATTCACCTATCTGATAAACTCACCCTTCCCCATTTGTATATTGTAAGCATTCACCCGCTGTTCGTATGGAAATGTTTTTTCGGCTGAAGGAACATTTCTGCGTTTATATTTAGGATTTGAATGTATATTGTACGATTAATTCAAACCGAGCACCGGTTAATCCAAACAACATATATTATAATTAAAGAACAATGTGACACCGAATGATTCGATCGGCGAATAAAATTTCAATCGAGCGAAGGTCTGAAAACATGAAACTTATCTAAATGAGGTCCAGCTGAGCTCCAACAGGAACGGCAACGAGTTTCACCGGATCCCAAAAAAAAGACTGAGAATGTCGGAGGCCTTGTTAACAGGATCTATACGTATTCATTTCTGCAATATCGTTTTCAACCTTCGATTACATCTCGACGGTATTCCTTGTCGCGTGCATTATCAATGCCTCCCGTTGAATCATCTAACATAGACTAAGATAGACGTTCATCGCTTTACATAGGACAGTCAGTAGTCTAACAGTAATAGTACGCATTCGAAACTTCAAAATAGAATCTCCATCTTATTTCAACCTAAAATTATAAACAATTAGAAACAGTCTGCAAGGAGTGTCTCCGTGCAATGAGAAAAGGCACAACGTTGTTCTTGGAAGCTAATGAAGCAACGCGTAAAAGATAAGATCGCGAGCCGTCAATGTTGCAATTAGACGAAGAGTATATAACCGTTCTGAGCGCGAAACCAGCGTCAGTTGCACGCTAACCGGACATGGAAGTGCGTTTTCAGAGAGATTTGCATGACCGCAAGCGACGCACGTGACCGTCGCTAGTAGAAATAAAATATCATACTTATTACAGAGCTTATACGCCATCGCATGAACGACACGCGTGCAATATGTGTCATGACCTACCACAACACCGTGCTCGATCGATAATCCGACACTGACGCTCGTGAATTGAGAATGAGTAGGAGCCACGTACGATTCACAGACGAAGAAATGATAGCGGATATATTTTTTGCACCCTACAGCGACTGTGTACATTAATATTAAATGGAAAGTAATTGACGTCATTTATCCAATACCATAGATTGGATTTATACTTGGAAGTTTCTGCAAATGAGATTGCTATTAACGTCTCGCGTTAAATCTTACTTGGATTTCCAATTAGAGTAGGTTCACTGCAAATATGAAATAATTATTTATTGAATGAATTCTGAGAAATTGACAATAACCATATAGAATTTTGTATAAGTAGACGTTCTATCAAATTTTACGATATATATAATTTTATTAAATATCGTATCTGCAATGGAATATAAGATAGAATTATGGTTGGAAAAAATAACACTGAAATTAAATGGTTTCCTACTAATTAAATAAAAATATCTCGCAAGCAGTCGGGCGTGAATGACAATCAGTTAAAAACAAATTTCCATTTCATCCGACTGATTTAAATTACAACGACGTCATAGAAACATGATTTAGATAAGGAGCAATTAGTACTTCCACCGGTAACATAACAGTGATAACACAACACGAGCTTATTGTTTCATACTCATTCACACGATAAATCGCGTGATTACGATTAGACGACTAAACGATTAGACCTGGAAACAGCTGAGGGTTGATAACGTTGCATAACTGCGTTCGGGAGAACGCGACACGGAATAACGTTAGTCGTTCAAGGCCGAGTACGCTCACTGTAGACAGAGCAGTGCAATCTGCATTACAATGTCATTCATTGTCGGTCAGGGCACGAACGAAAACGTACGATAACCGGTCGCCACTCTTACATGTCAGCTGTTGTCTTTGTGAAAAAGTTAAGAAACAGTGTACCGAAGAAAAAAAACGAAATCACGTGTTTTACCGGTACAATTCGATCGACCCAGAAAAGCATAACACCATTTTGGCACGAAACGGTATACTATCCGAAACATGGAAAGTAAAATAATTTTTTTCAGAATAATTTCGCGATAGAATTACACTTTATAATGATTTGTTGGTTCTTAGATTTTATGAATGATTTCTATTAATTATTTATGAAACGTTTCACTTATTCAGAATAATTTGACAACAGAATTATGTTTCCTGATGACTTCCAAGCTTCCTCGATTTTATAATTGGATTTATAACCGGTTGACAAATTCTTTTTACGTCTGACAATTTTGTCTGCATTATGTTTCTTCGTAAATGTCGGATACCTATAAAGAAATAGGAAAATGATGCCACAGAAAGTAATTTAAAACGTCCATTGCTGCTGCTAGGTCATGGCCTATATTTCCGAGAGGAACATAGATAATATTTCCACTACTTTTTTATCGCGAGACGTAATCAAGTGGTTAAGCAGAAATGTTAATAAAACGGCAGTCGAGCAGATGGTGACCTCATATAGCGTCAGGTTTCTAAAATCTTGAAAGAAGTAAGATATTCCTCGTTTGTTAAAATGGTGATTATTCGTCCCTCGATAAACATATTAAAATTTTCTTGTATAAAACGTATTTTTAGAATAATACAAATTTCACGATAAAAAGCAAGTTTTATATGAAAAAAAGATTTATTTATATATATGTATCTTCTTTTATAAATTTCTCTTTTGCATTAACATTTTCTTCTTCTATTTATATGTACAACGTATATTGGATAACGATGTTACTGTTTTCCATACCAATTACAAAATATGCAAACAATCGCCTTTTCGACGATGAAGATAAACCACGCTCGATACAACTCGATGAAATTATTTGTGACAACTCGGCACAATCGTGAAATGGGTTCGCGTGAATTGCACGCGCGTCTCTCGAGAATGATGCTATCAAGATCACCGGCTTGACTTCCGGTGTCCGGATCATTACGTGCATAGGTACTGTAATTCGATCCACGAGGTCGTACCCATACTGGAATATCATTGACGATAATAAAGAAGAAAAAAAAAAGATAAATCGACGAAACATCGAAGAAATATTGCAAGTTACACGCGAATGTCAGACGTTCTTACGTAACCATTCGCTACGTTACGTTATCCGACTTTTGGTTCGTAATTAAGGTGACATAAATTAAGAAGAAGATTGATCTATGCGATTCCGTATGAAATAAGAACCGAAGAAATTTGATCGGTGTGCATGAAACTCTTATTTTTTATCTCTGTTTATCTTGAATTATGCCAAGTAATTTGGTAGAATGTCGGTAATTTAATACTGTAAATAAATTATACTTGTAGATTAATATTTTCGTACAATATCACCGTACGAAATACGAAGAAAGGGAAAATGATAAACTATGAATTTTCATTACGAGTAGATTGGAATCTTCTTCATTTCTTAATTAGGTTAACGTCTGTTTTCTGGGTTGTGCACTTTGCGTAGCTCCGCTTCTGCACCAGTTCTTTTACATTTGTCTTTCTGTTTTTTACGCGATAAACTCGTTACTCGTGTGAAAACTTTTTCGAACAACATTTTTTATTACGATGTACTTGTATGCATGTAAATGTTGAAATTTACATTCGGTCACAAAAGTTAATGCCATTCATCTGATCTTTGGCCTTGATACCTATTGCATAATACCAATCGAACAACATTTCTTCCATACATTCTATTTATATCCTCGGTTGTCCGCAGAAAAGTTTCGTAATACGAAAAGTTTCCTGCTAACAGAAGCAAGAGAAGTTTCATTGCTGACCACCGCTTCTACGTTATGAAATTTCTATAATGTCACCATTTACTGAGAATCCTTCAAAGATCCTCCGTTTCGTTCATAAAATTGTGTATTCTCCGTGTGACCTCGAAACCTCTTCTTTCCATGGTTCTTCATTGAAATTTCTCCTTTATTCGCGAGCCACCGTGCAAATGGGCTACTGACGCAACCAGGAACGCGCCACCGGCACCGCGTAATGACCGATAATTAGTCAGTCGATTGCATAACTCGCCATTGTCAGATAATGCAGACGAGCTGTTGGAGGAAGATTACGTTCCGTGAATTCGCCACGCGGAAGACAAACCGGACATTTCGGAACCCGTCTTTGTCTTTGTCGACAAAGCACGAATGTGAATCGAAAGGCAGAAGCAACTTCTTCACCTGCGTAACAACGATTTCCATTCACATATTTCAAATATTTCTAGGAACGTTGTTTTGTAATATCAATTGCTATTCGTTCCTGATCCATGCCGCAACTGTCTATACGTTTTTTGTTTACTTGTAAATAACTTGTGTAAATCTACTACACGACCTATGCAAATTTTTAAAGAAAGAAAAATACTGAATTATTTACGATTACGTGTTGAATTTCGCGCTTGTCTTTGCTATTTCTCTACCGATACGTACTTGCTTAAATGTACACGATTCTGTGACAAATATAGTTGTCAATTTCTCTGCGTAATTCGGACACATAAAAGTGTATAGAGAATTTTTGTTGACCGATTGAAAGTGTGCTGGTTAGGTATTAACTCAACTAAAATGGTTGAATCGTATTTCCTTTGGAACGATGTTCAGTGAAAATAGATAATCACCTACGAAGTAACGACACGAATAAAAGATAAGATTAAAGTTCGAAATACAAATTCCACGAATCGAAGTTACACGATTGATGAAGCAAGTTTTTTCCCCAGTTAAGCGAGAAATCATGTTTATTTACGAGCTAGGAACCGATCGAACTTCCCTGGCTGGATTGCGTGCGAACGACATAAAAGTTTCGTGGCCTTGTATTCGCGCACGTGATAACACCCGTACAAAATAAATACGTGCTCGATCGATTACATCCAATTTCGCATACCTGTTTTATCGGCAGTTTGTACAAGAAGTAAAACGGTGTACGCGCAACGCGTTAGTTTTTCATGTGCCTTGAAACGAATATAAAGAACTATGGACAACTCTTTAAATTCTATTCAGAATAAAATTCTTCTTTGAGAAACGGTTGTAAGACATTCTTTGAGATTATGTTATTTGCCTGATATAAAATCAGAGATTGCATATAAAAATCTAAAAATGATTTATCTCTTTTTTTTTGTAAAATATCGTTTGTTTTTTTTTTTTTTTTTTTTTTTTGGAAAA